AAAACTCACAACACTTGGAACTCTCATAGTAACACTAATTGGATAAAAGGTTCCATCAATTTGTCTAAACATAGACCACATGGTTGGTGTTATTGATGCAGCACCAGCATTACACCAAGAAGAAAAATTGTGACCTAAAATAAGATCATAACTCAATTCATCAAAAACATACATGTGAATTGGTTCTTGTTTATACGGTTGATCAACTTTGAAAATCGCATGGGTAACACCCTTTGAAGTAACTGGACTATTCGAAAGTCCTTGGAAGGTTCGATGAAATCGATAAATCTTAAAACCAAGCGCTTCGGCAACTGAAGCCTTAATAGCTGTCGTTCCAGCTCCTGTATCAAATAAAGCATCGATTGACTTATCACAATCTTCAATCGGAATCTTAATTATCGGAAAATGGCCAGTGTTAGGTGAACTTGATTTAAAATGATTAGTTTGAGTGTTTCCACTTGAAGCATTTTGTCTCGATGGACAATTTTCAGCGAGATGATCGTTACGATAACATATAAAACAATGAGTTTGTTGGCCTTGTTGAAGTGGTTGAACTTGTTGCGGTTGTTGATTAGTTTGTTGATTTTGCTGATTGTTGTTTCGGTAAACATAATCAGTTTTTCCAGGAAAATTTCCATTATTTTGATTGTTGTAATTACTATTATAATTTCGACCTTTGTAATTAGATGATCGCGTTGATCGTTTTCTTGATTATTTTGTTGATTAATTTGTTGATTGTTTTGTTGTTGATTAATTTGTTGACCACTTTGTTGATTGTTTTGTTGATTGTTTTGTTGATCACTTGATTGTTGATCACTTGAAGAGTTGAATCGATTTCCTCTCTGATTACTTCTTTGATTATTAAATTGTCGACCTGGAACTTTCTTTGAAAGGTCGTGTTTAATTCTACTCTCATGAGTAATTAACGCTCCAATTAACGCTTCCGTTGATTTGATTTTCATATCATTTGCATATTTGAATTTGAGATTATCAGGAAGTGTATGAAATATTAGTAGCGTAATAGCTTCATTATCAATATCATTACATCTGATTTTTGCAGCATCTGAGAGTTTTTTAACATATTCATGAGGATCATCACCATTAGAATACTTGGTAAACATTAACTTGTTCGTGGCCTCTAGTATATCAGCAGCACCAACATAACTTTCGCGGAGTAATTGGATTAATCCAGACAATGAAATATCATCTCCATATTTGCGTTTAATTGTTTTAATTACTGTAAATATCTTTGGTGGAACTCTTGTTGCAAGTAATTTAGTTGCATAACTATCAGGAATTGGGCAAATCTCAATTGCATTTGAAAATCTTTCTAAATAAGAGGTAAACGTTTCCTTGGAATCCTCTGTATAACGATCAATAATATCATGGGTCAGGATATCTGAGTATTGTTTCAGTGCTTCCAATTTCTTTTGAATTATATCGATTGGCTTAGGTAACACTGGAGAAGGTAAATTGATGCTTTCAGCTCGTATCCTTTGGTAAGTGGTAGGGCTATAAGCTTGTTGTTGAGGGAAATCAAGATTTTGTTTTTGTTGTTTCTTTTGGGACAATTCTTGGTTAAAAAATGATGAATGTGGACCTGAAGGAAAATCATCTTCATTTGGTTCCGAATTTGTTACCATTAAATTGTATCTTTCTGTTTGTTCAATTGAGAATCCATATTCATTCAATTGATCGATTGATAGATCGAGGCGATCGAGAGCCTGATTAAGATGTAAAGTTAAAATATTTGCTTCCGTTATCTTAAACACACGAAGCCGAAGAAATTGATCAGGAGTATTTAACCAATTTGGATTAAATATGATGGTCTCTATATTCCATTCTTCATTTACACCAACATCTTTGTAGTAAATGGCATTGGTTCTAAGAGCATCATTGACGATTCTTGAAACGAATCCAATATAATAATCAGGACGAAATGAATATCCAAGTTTCTTTGCAGTTTCTCTTTTAATTTGTTCATTGGCAAGATACGATTTAACTGTTTGTGCCATTTTGAACAATTTCGATAGATACGATAACTTTGATGAAGTTGGAGAAGTAACAATTGTTGAAAGTTCTTGGTAATCCCAAGTTTTATCCAAAGATGAGAAGTTATTTGATTTCTCCAGATTAATTGAATATGAAATTAAAGATGATTAATTGTAATTGAAAATGTAAAGATGATGAATGAGTTAAGACTCGTAATTAATTAGACCACCAAATAAGTTGATTAATAAGTTGAATTGTTGTGGCTAATTTAGAGATGAATCATTCAAGGTTTAATTTAGATCTCTCAATGAGAATCAGAGGACAATTAAAATTGTATGAGTAACAGGAATTAAGCGTCTGTACTTTTGACCTTGAGAATTGATTTTATTAATTAAAAGATTTTGGGGACCGATCGATACTATTTAATTAACCAAATTTTCCACAGCCAAATATCAATTACCGTTCCAAATTACCTTCACCTTTCGAGTACTAATTAATTGTTCCAATGTTAGCGATAACCAGATCACTACAACACGTACTTAATTACCTTTCCACCAAACCAAGACGAAGATTAAATATGAAGGTTACCTTAGATGACTCGTACTAATAGTAATTAACTTAAACAATGAATAATCAGGAGAAAAGGTAAAACCAAGCTTTGTTGCTGCTTCTCTTTTGGTTGTTTCTGATGAGAGATAATTTTTCAGGGTATCAGCCATATTGATTGTTTTAAACAAATGAGAAATATATGAAAGTTTAGATGAAGATGGAGAAATATCAATTGTTGAAATTTCTTGGTAATCCCAAGTTTTGTTTAGATCTGAATCCAGATTAATATTTGTTGATATTTAAAGATGATTAGTAATTAAGATTACTTTAGTTTACTCAGTAATTAAGATTACAATGAGTAAAAAGATGAATGAGAGTTGAAACAATTAGTTAAATTGTTAAATTTGGTCAACAAGAGCTTTTAAACGTTTAAATGTATCAAAAGAGATTTCAATAGTCCAATTTGGTCCAATAATTTCATCATATCCATCTCCTTTGCTATGCGCCCATTCACTTATCTTCACTGTGAAATTTGAAAATTTGAAAAATTTGAAATTTCATTTTTTACAATATCAATTATTAGATTGGCTTTGTTGCCACTCGCACAGTAATCAAATACAACTTGATCTGTCCACATTTTGATACTAATGGTATACTAACAAAGACTAGTGCTTTTTATAGCTATTGTTATTGCATCATTTTGCATTGGATCATTTTTGCAAGGTTATTGCTGACGTCATTCTAGACAGTTCAGTGACTCTGACATCGAATGATGGTTTCAAGGTCACTATTGACGTCATTTCAGACAGTTCATTGAACTTTTTGGAACGTTCTAGAACATTCTATGAACCGCACCCCCATTTCCGCTTTTGAGCCAGAAGCTACGGTTTTCATACTACTCCAAGATCTTCAATAAAATAGCCATATTGGTTAAAAACTGTATATGTTTGAACATACATAAAAGTAATGCAACAATCAGCTTTACTTTTCACTCAACTTTCATTGGTATAAACAGAAAAATATTTACAAAATCGTTAAATCAGGACTTGGATTATAAAGATCAGAGTCCAATATCTTTTCTTCTTCTTCTAGATGAGTCATAAGCGAAGTTTTATCTCTCGCTCTCAACCATCATAAGTATTTACTCCTTATAAATGGGAAGAATCGACATTTTGTATAAACATTTGACTCTAAATATTTGAATTGTTTTTCATTGAGATTTCTCAAATAATCACAGTTAATCACAGAGGTTTTTTGAAAATTTGAGTATACAGGGCGTAACAACCAACCATTGCCACTTTTGAGAGCGGATTGCTCGAAAACTATCCGTCCAATTTTCGATCCTATGACGCCAATTGGTAGACAAAATGTGTAAGTTTTGTTTGGTGTTATTAAGAATATGACCACAAAATTCAAATTCGAACGATGGCCTTTCAAAGTCGGAAAAGTGGTACATCACGGCCTATTTGCTACTTTCAACGGACAAGTTGCCGCTATTCTGAGCCCGTTTAAGAGCTTTGAGATCTAATTTTTTAGGCTTATTAGCATTTTCAGCATCGGTAATTTACCAGGGCCTGATTTCATGATGATCGGAAAGGTCAAAATTTTTCGCATGGAAGCCAATGGATCAAGTTCGCACCTTTGAATGATAATTACTCCTGAACGATAAGTCAGATCAAAAAACAAATTAGCACAATCTACGCAATAAAAGTTGGGCTTTTGATTGGCATGAAAAAATTTACCGCGAAATTCTTTGCATCCAAATGTACCACTTTTCCGACTTTGAAAGGCCATCGTTCGAATTTGAATTTTGTGGTCATATTCTTAATAACACCAAACAAAACTTACACATTTTGTCTACCAATTGGCGTCATAGGATCGAAAATTGGACGGATAGTTTTCGAGCAATCCGCTCTCAAAAGTGGAAATGGTTGGTTGATACGCCCTGTATATTTATGATGATCATGAAATTGAAGATGTTGATGATAAGTAGACAGAGAGAGAGAGAGAAAGATAAGAAAGTCTACAGATATGTCTTCCTAATTCTGTGGGTTGATTACAATTCTTATGTTGTTATTAAGGTTAAACAAAGTAAACTCGATAAAAGATTCTTACTCCATATTAACCTAACAGTGTAGTTTGAGGCTCATTTGCATGATAATTAAATTAAACCCATTCATCTTCATGGTTAAGATGATAAGAAGATGTTGTAATAATAATTAAGTAGTTGATCATGATGAGTGATAACAAGATTGCCAATGATTACTAAACTGTAAATGAATTAACTACCAGGGGATATGGTTTAAGGTTCAATTAAAAAGGTTTGCTTCTCAAGTTTATAGCATTATGGTGATGGTGCAGACGATATTGGGACTTTTTTATTTTCTAAATCTTCAATTCCCTTATCAGTTTATTTATTTCATCTAATTTGTCAATTTTTGTTTTTCAATGAATTTCAGATCGCCCTGAATGTAGTGTACATAAAGAATCACTTGGTGGAAATCGTTGGCTACTCTCATGTGAAGCCTCATCAAACCCTCCTGTCCTTAACTTTACATGGTATCGATACAATCGGACTGTTGGTGACACTTTATCATCATCATTATCACCTTTACCTTCACCTTCCTTATTAACTAATTCTGGTTCATCGCCAGTTTCGTCTAAACGATTAGCGATCTCATCAATTGAGGACAAACAGAGTTCAGTCCTTGTTCTAGAGGAAAATGATCTGGAAGCTTATTCTTGTATAGCAACAAATATTATCGGTCCCTCAACTCCATGTAAACTAAAAATAGTTCATGTAAATGGTAAGTGGACAAAGTTTATATCTCTTTCAGTATATTATCGTTAAAAAACTCTAATCAATTGCAAATCGAATTCAAAATCCCTTAAAAGTACGTAGTGATCTTTAATATGTGTGAATGAAATTCATAAGAGTTAAAAAGTGCAGGTTTTTTTTATCTATGAAAACTTCATGACGAACAATCAAATGGTCAGTGAATTTTTTTCTTGAGAAAACATTAGAAGATCAATCTATGGAAATACATGAAAATCTTTTGCTTGGTCCAAATTCTGATTAAGTGGTGGTAAAAATTGATATGGATCATCAATCTTCAAGTAAATTGAAGTTTTTTAGTGTTATTTTGGCAATGAATTGTATCAGTCTGCTGGTTTTGTTCATCGTGAGTTTTACTTTATTCAATAGAAAACTTCAAATGACCCATGCAAGTGAATTGACTTTCACACTTATGCGATCCAGAACAATTATTGCACAAAATTTGTCTAAAATTTACAAAGACTTGAAAATCTGTTTTCTGAATTCATTTGTTCCATGAAAATTCCAAATATATCCTGAATATTGTACCCAAATTCTTTAAAATCTGCTTCTATCCATGTATTAATAGAACTTTTTTGCTTGAGATTCTCACTTCTTCATAAGCTACTCAGAGTATTTTTTACATCCATCTTTCTCTTTGTTTCGTCGTTCTTATCTTCAGAGTTTTTCATATATTCTTTTTCCAGTAATATTATTCTCATTCTCTGCTCACTCTATCCCTTTCTCTCTCTCTCTCTCTCTCTCTCTCTCTCTCTCTCTCTCTCTCTTCTCATGATCATCATTCTCCTCTTCCACTGAGTCTCTTTGCAAATGCAATCATCTTGGGAATAAGAGTTTCATTTGTTTCCTTTTTTCATCATTTCTTTTTTCTTTCCTCATTCTCTGCATTTATCTCCCTGAAAAACTTTTCCTTTTTCCTCCGGTGGAAAAAACCCTCCACAATATTAATGGAGTATTTGTTTTCATAAAAAAAGGAGTTAAAATGCAGAGAAAGAGAGAGGAAACTAACAAGAATATGATGAAGGTTCCAAATATTATCATGGTAAAAAAGTCAAGATAAACAGAATTTACATGAGAAAGGTAGAAGGAGTGGATGGAAATTGAGAGTGCGAAAAATTGATCTGTAGAAAAAGTTGATTCCGTCTCCATGATATTACCTTTTCTTTTACTACTCCCAGTATCTTTGGTGTATTTAAAAAACACTTTGCATCTACTTTTTCTCCAAGATTAGATTGTTTTCCTTTTTCACTGTTTATCATGAATTTCAGAACTGATCTTATTAGAAGTCTTTGCAAGAGCAGAAAATATAATTCGATAAATGATTATGGTTAAATATTCCAACAAGAAAGAAAAAGTTAAGACAAAAGTTACAACAAGATAGAAAGTTCTGAATTGACTGAATTCATTTTTTCTTTCTAATCACCAAATGAATTTGATTTTGAATTGATCGTAACAGCCACAGAGATTTTTGCATAAACATGAATAATATCATTCTCTGTATTCTGATGACGATCATCATCTGTCATCCTCATGGTGTTTTAGTCATCCCATTATCATGATGGTTGTGATGGTTTGAATCATTATTTTCATATTAAAGATGGAAAAAGTTGTTCAGTTGATCCAGTTTTTGGATACAAGGTATTAAAAGAAAAACATGAATTCTCAATGAATAAAAACCATTAGATAATCATTAACATATATTATAAATGATAATATGACAAATCATCATGGTGATAATCAGTTTGCTCAGTTCCTGAGTTCTAGGTTTTAATGTTATTTTAAAAACTTTAGAACTTTTTTTTCTCTTCCCATACAATCAACATGATTTCAGATTCAATTGAACGCCTTTGATAAGTTATATGATCAGAATTGTTAATCTTATGGATTAGCAGTGGAAATAATTTATTGGTCATCATTCCATGTTTGATCAGCTCTAAAGAATCTCTTTAATTGGAAAATGTCACCATAATGACCATTGGTCACTGAGCTGATGTGTTATATAAATTTTTTTATTTTTATAAATCGTAACTTGATTGCGATAAATTTATTAAGATCATTAGAAATTTTTTTTCTTAAAGATTTTGATTGAATCGAAATTGATATTGAAAGTTTCCAGTTTAACTTAAGATCGTCCATTGAGTTCATTTCATTCAGATTGACCAGTGGTGAAGGTGCTTGATAGGTTGAAGGGAGGAAAAAAGTTCGAAAACTTTTTTTTTCATCTCTCACTTTAGCCATTTCGTTGATATATCAACACCAATAACCAATTTCCAGCTTAATATTTCCTGTTTTCGAACAATTTTTATCACTTATTTCAAGTTCTATTTCAACACTTTCGATATCATCATCACCATGATATCACTTTTAACACTTATTCTTTTATAAGGATTGATATGTGAAGTTCTATTGAATTTTCTTGTCGATAGAAAAAAAAAACTCGATAAAAAAGTCTAGAACAAAGATTTGCAGTTAATTTTCTTGTATTAAAACAAATCCTTTACCAATTAACTTTGAAATTCAATTTTTAATGATAAACTGTTATTTTCATGGTATGGAAATGAATGAATCAACTGAGAATCAGCATCATTAACTGTTGTCAACCTTTCGTTTGTTTTACATCAAACTCAGAAACTCATGATAAATAGATATGAACTTTTTCTGAACTTTTATGCTCACCCAAAGATCTAGTGATAGTTTAAATCTGTTTGCTGTTGATCATTTTTTTTTAAAGAAAAAGAACGAAAAATTTCTATGATAATACTATGATGAATTAGAAAAGTCGATCATCATTCATTTTCACTATGACAGAATTTCATACAGAAAGAGAATGAAAGTTCCGTAATCAGATGACATAAAACACACACATGAAAGAGGAAAAGTTGAGAGTGGGAAGGACTTGAAACATTAACATGAAATCATTTTTATCTTCTCATTCATTGTTCCTTTTCCAAGCCCCACACTACTCCATCATCATGGTTATCTCACCATAATCATAAGTTAGTTTGTCATGGAATCTATTCCTCCTAAGGTTAGGAATCCTTTTTTTTTACCTTCCATAAGTCAATATAATATGAGGTGGAATTTTTTTTCTCTTGCTCATCTTCACAATCTAGTTAACTTGAATCATTGAACCTGAACTTACCTGATTCTCCTGAGGTCTCATCACCGAGAACAACAGAAAAAAATCTAAGAGAAAATAGGCAAAAACTCTGATGAATCGAATGATAAAAAGATTTGAGTTCAGGACGAAAGTTCATGAACGAAAGATATGGATAAAGTTTTCAGAATATCTTAGTGAATGAAAATTCATTCAACTTCCAATCTATGAGTTGATCTGATTTCGCTCTGATTTTTTTCCTGATAAATTGTTTTCTTCAAATAGATTTAGAAATTTGTATGATAGTTCATCATGATGGACAGTTCTGATATAAACTTTATTAACCGAATCTTATCATTTCTCTTTATCTGCTAATATCTTATTCTTGACTATATAAAACTCTGAACCAAAAAGGTTATCTCATGGCTTGAGATAATTTCATGTTGAGTCTTCACAAAATACTCTTGGGATAATGAATCTTGATATTAACCTTTGACTTTTCCCTCAGAATCATTATCTTTCCATCATCGTTTTACCTGGAAAAAAATAGTTTGAGTGTGAAAACTTGAAGGTTGATTGACAGATCATCTCTCACTATCATGGTCATCTTTTTATCCAGGTACACTTGAGGATTATAATTATTCTGATCATCATGAAAGTTATGATGAAACAATTGCTTAGAAAAAAAAATCCTATCAACTGAAAGTGACCTTTTGATTAACCATTATAATAACTTAATGGAGTCAAATTTATGATTGATTGGATTTCCATTATCAACAACACACCTTATTTCATGATGTACTTACAGCCTAATGTCAACAGTTCACCAAGAATCAGGATGAAAATTAAGGTCAATCAACAATTCAAATGTCATTGAAAATTTTCACATTTTCTTATATAACATATGCTGGATTCCATTTTTTTCCTTCAATTTCTACCTGAAATATTGAAGCTTTTTTATTCCCCACCAACAACTTAACATCATTTCAAGTGATACTCTCGAAGTATTATTAATATAACATCAATAAGAGCATTGGTATTGGAAATTTTCAGATAAAGTAAATCTGAAAAATCTGGAAATGGTTCTGAGAAAGACTAAGAGAAAGGGAACAAAAAGTTTTTTTTCCACCAAAAGTTTGAACTTTTCATCTTCGATAACCATAAATACAATTGATTATCTTCTCAAAGATAATATTGGTTTTACTTTATGATGATCATTGAAGAATCATTTTTATCATCATTGCACTTTAATCTTAACATCTTAATCTGATATTGATGATGATTGAAAAAAGATAAAGCTAGAAGATGATGGTGACAAAAAAAAGAAGAGAGTTACTTTTTTGATGAAAATCGTCTCAACGATTTGGAACTTTTCATCTGATTAACTTTCGTATCTTTAATTTCAACTGTCATCAAATGGTTTTTTTATCCTGATCTCAGCTGTTGATTCCCACCAAATCTTAAAGGGAAAAATCATATGTTCAATTGGTCATCTTACAACCTCAACTTCATCCTCATTATTAGAAATTTTGTCTTGAGGCCCACCAACATGATAGTCAACAATATCATCAGAAATTCATCATAAATCTCGCCCTCACTCTCCAGTTTTCTCTCAATTTTTTCTATCTACCACAGACTTCATTCTTTTCATTCTTCTTAGAACTTTTTTGAACAAAAATTAAAAACTTTGAAGGTATAAATTTCCTCGAGAAAGATTATCTCTCCTCTTTCCTCCTCAAGATGATAATGATGACAATTCAAGAGATTGCAACTCCGATTCTCTCAGTTCAAGGTAGAAAGGGAAAAGTTCACTAATCTTCATGGGATTCGGAAAATTCTGACAGAAAGATTTTCGAAAAAGATAAATATTAGTGACTACGAACTTTTTGCTCCTTCGATGCTCCGACCAACAAGAAAAAGGTTGATGACTCTGCATATGATTGAATGGGAAACTAAAGCTTTAAAACTGATTGGAAGCAATTTAGTTAAAAATTAATTCAGTCAATTCAGCAGAATCATAATCATCATGATCCCATGGAACCCAAATCTTTGAATTTAAAAATTCTGATCCATATAAGAATAGCATTGATAATGAGATTGATCTCAACCTAATTATCATCATTAAGGTAATAGTTGAACGAAAATTACCTTTTCTTTGTCATTATCAACAATTAGTTGTCACATTGATCATTAATCAGTTGATCATTCAAACAACTTTACCTTTGAGTTGACTAAATTGTGATTAAAAATCAATAATCAATTTGAATTTGAATTTAATCTCACATGAGATTAAATTGGTTCTAATACAGATTAACATGATTTATCCATTATGAATATTCATTGGAATTTAATCAACACAATGATAAATGATTCTTTCAAACCATTTGACAAGTTGATGATTGTCGATGATTAAAAACAAATTGTTGACTAAATTGTTGTGAATTTTTCATCTCCAATAAACTGAATTAATAGTAATCATGGTGAAAGTTAAATATTATTATCAATGACATTGAAAGAAAATAAAAATTCCTCTTACAATGATGATTTAAGGAGCTAGTGATTAAGTTGATTGTGACAATTAACCCAAATATGATTACTTATATTAGTTTAATCCTTAGTGTTAATCCCAAAAATCAACTTGACTTATCAAGACTGAGTCATTGTAGTAAGTTAATTGTTATGATAATGGTTAAAGTAAATTGTTATCCTACTGTTTAGGTAATAGTGTAAATATATTGGATTCCCTTGTGGATATTTAATCAACTCCCAGCAAGTACAATTATAATTGTTCAACAACAAAGAGAGTCCAGTTAATCAATTTGAATCAACTATCGGAAAATTGTTTTTACTATTTCATTGTGATCAACTAATCAACTGTTCAAAGTAAACACGTGTTGTTGATAATCAAGTTAATCAACTGAATCTAGAACATTATTATTACAATAAGAGTTAACTGTTGATATTAATGAGATTTTCATATCCATATGATTAAAGTTTCCGATATAATTGTTGACCTTATTCATTGTATCATTAAATTATTTTGATCAATCTGTTGACTATTTCATGAGACTATCATGCTGATAAGCAAATATACTATTAGTTATCTCTCATTTAGATTTAATTGTTGTAATCACTCAGCTTGAAATTCTGAATTGTTGACAATTAGTTAACTATGTCATTCAATTTCCACTTCCAAAAGGATTATCATCACTACCTTAATCATTTACATCCTAATGATTAATTATTATTTGATTGATTTAGATGAAGATTGTAATGATGATAGAGAAGTTATCATTTCATTTAGTTTTTTATCAATTGCAGAATATTGAAAATAATCATTGGATTAGAAAAATTGATTCTTTATGTTACATTTTTATCATCATCATGTTGATATTGAGAGAGAAATATGGAGAGAGGTACTAATGATTAAAAGAGGAAAAGAATCATTTGATTTCCATTAGAAAGTTTTTACTTTGTTTTCTAATCCAATATTGATCAAGATGATGAAATGTGTTGATTGCACGCGACATTTACTCACTTATATTACCAAGTTCCACCGACATGTTGATCATTCCCCTTGTTCATCTTACCACTGTCATCATATTCTTATCATCATTACCATTACTACAACAGAAAAAGAGGAAAAAGTCATCATCAAGGTCTACACACTTTTCCACCCTCATCAATTTACTAAATCATCGCAAAATAAGGTCAACCAAATGAAACTTAAAGGGATGAGTGATAAAGACACTGAGAAATTATCGATAATCAAATGTAGTAAATAATCATTTAACTCGGTGGGAGTGAAATTGAATAGCAATAGTATTTTCCACTCCCTGTAAAAGTATTATCATCTACCACCACCTCCATCCCCACCTCATCATTATTATACATTTTATGACCTTAAGCTCCCTCGAGGTGTAAAAATATATATATTATATTTGGAGGTTGATTAGTTTTATATGTAAAATTATATTGCCATGATTAAGATGATATCCTTACTCAAATATTATATACACACACACAGTTGAAGTCTAATGATTAAGATGATAATAATCTCGTATTAATAATCTAACTATTAACTCGCACAATTGAATTGATGATTTATCATCAGGATGAATTTATTAATTTACTTTTCTCGATTCAATTGTATCCCAACAATCAACTCTCATGATGAATCTTGAAGCTACTTTTGATGTTTTTCCTCATTCATTATCATGAAATGTAAATGAACTTTCAGTTTATCTCTATTTTTTTCACCAGTGTCTCTTTCTGTTGATAATAAATCATGAATTTATCATAAATTTCCCTTCATTTAAGTTATGTAGTTGATCATCATCATCTCATGATGATGGTGATGTTAATTATCATCATTATTTTACACCAGAATCATCATGATAAAGATAATTATCCAATGATATTTGAAACTGAATGATAATCAACTACAATTTTCCCTTAAGAAAAACATATATTTAACCTTTAACCTCTGTTTTATTTTTAATGATCAAATAGTTAATCATCTCGGTGATGATTATTATCATGATGAAAGTAATTATTATATTGAAACTTTCATTCATCAATTAGGTTTAATCATCACGATCAATCATAATCGCGTAAAAATTTATTATGATAATATAATTCAAAGATTAGCAATTGATTGGATAAAATTTTACCTTTGATTGGTGTAATTGTTAATTGTTTGACTAATTGTTTCTTTTATTTTTGATTAGCTCCTTCAGGTTGGGTTCAATTGTTACTTGCAGATGAAAATTTAATCATCGTTGGAACCGCATTTGGTTTAATTGTTTTCATTATTGTCTCAAGTTTAATTGTTGGATTAATTTTCTTGGGACGAAAAAAACTGAAAGCAATTGATAATAAACCTTCAACTTTATCAACAACAACAACAGGAATCAATGGTAATCATCATCACCGTTATGATCCAAATTATCATCAAACTAATTATCAACAATCAGTTAATAATCATCACCATTCAGATTATTCTGCTTACTCTTCTCGTCAACAATCAATCCAACCAAATCATCATCTTTATCATTCATTAACTCGTAATCATAATCAGAATCTTAATTCATCATCATCAACACTTCATCATTATTCAAGTCAAAAGTATTCAACTAATCAAAGCAAAACCTCATCACTTAATAAACTTCCTATTCTCGAGGAACGAACCATGTAAGTTGTTCAATTACCTTGATTAAGAATCACAATCAAATTATCTAATATCATCATGGAATCGTAATGTTATAGTTATCAGATAAATTTCTTTACATATACACCGATAGACGATGAACATGAATTGAGAACCAACCATTTATCAGAATTTATCAAGAAATATTTCCATATTTTTCTCCCATGATTAAGAGATTATCAGAATTCTTGAAATTTTATCATGAAAATGTTGGATATTTATCATGTTGTATTTGTATCTTTTCATGTGATTCAAATATTATCTCAAAGTTTTGTATCTAATCTGTGAGAAGATAAATTACCATGAAATTTCAGGGAATTTACAATTTTTATTTTCTCTTCATCTAAATAGATTGTTAAAAGAAAAGGAAAGATAAACTGTAATTGATTTATTTTCATGAATATGAATCAATCATGATCATGAGTTTGAATTGTAAAATGTTGAAGGAAAAGATTCAATCAACTGATTTGATCATGAATTTCATAGAGTAAAAAAAAAGTTCAATTGATTTTAATCAGAATTTTATTTTCTTTATGCATGAAAATAGTTCTGATGGTCGATGTTCCGATAAATTGAATGCAAACTGTGATGGAGACGATGACCTGTCCACTTATGGTCATCATCAACAATCTTCCCCTCTGATTACCCGTAGTCATCAATGTATCACCTTAAGTCGCCCCGGAGTGGGTAATGGTAGTGCTGGTGTTGGAAGCCCATTACTTTTATCTGAATATTTGACCGATGAAATGGAAACTGAATCTCATGGGTCAACCAATTCAATGAATCACTATTATGAGTCAACTTCACCTTTACACCGTAACAATTACAAGAATATTAAGAACAATAAAAACAACAACATCATCAACACCAACACCATCAACAGTATCAACAATAGTTACAATAATATCAATGATAATCATTATTCACAAACTCTCCTCCATCATCACCCACACTCCCAACAACATTACAATATTCCCTTAGATTCCGGTCCACCCTTACCACCTTTACCCCCAGAACGTGCTAACCGTTATTCCCACTTACAACAACATCACCTACAACAGTCCAACCACCACCATCACCCTCACCAACAGCAACATCACCTTCAGTCATCCAATCATCCCAATCATCTCATCTATGATTATACTTATCAAAGGCATCATCCAAATCGAATCACTTGAGAAAGAGACACAAATCATTATCTAATCAATGCAACAATTTGAGACCGAATTTTATCATCATCATTATCATCATCATCGTCTTCTTCTTTGACCAAAGAGGAAAAAAGACACTTTTCTTCCCTCTACTCTCTTCTATTTCTTTTGAGTTGATCAGCATCATTTCCGTTTCCTCCTTTGTTATATTACTCTCATCAGAACCTTTTTCCTCTTGTACATATACATTTCGATAAAAACTTTTCTAGTTATCCAATCACTTTCATCATCATCATCATGTATGGAGCCTTTTTTTATCATCATTATCTTCTTGTATGACCTTTTGTATGCAATTCGGATACATTAATGAAATCACACAACTCAGTGAACTCCCTGTAAACATGTTTATAAGTCAACAATTAATACATTTACTGTAATGCTACAAGAAAAGATAATAAATTGAATAAGGATGAAAACTTGACTCTGAAGAGAATCAACTTCTTCAGGGTTAAAGTTCATCTGAAAACAGATATAAAACATTAATATCACCATGGAACATGAACATTAACATGAATTCAAGTGAAATCTTTCAATTTAAATGTACATTTCAATGTAAACAACAAAAAATCGAATGACAAGATGAAAAGAAATTTTTAAAATCTCAATTCGAAACCAATTGTATAATTAACTATTGCTATTATTTAATTAACTTGGAAAATTAAATTGCTACACAAGCTAATTAATTAAAATCAATGCTCAACTTTTATCGTCTTTTGATTGACCAATAAAAAAATCGAGGTTGGTTCAGTTGATCAGAATTTGTGTTGTAAAAAAAGTTTTTTTTTGAGAATTGGAAATGAGTAGGAAAAGTTAATTGCTTTTCGATGTAAATCTGTAATCTAAGTCCAATTAATCGCATGGCAATGGCTGTAGATCTGTATAAATCATCAATTTCATGGTGATTCAGTTGAACAGCTGATTGAAGTCCATAATATTAGATTGGGTGAGAAAAGCATTCAACTTCAAGGGAATGAGGAAATTTCTAAAATTCCTGTGATGAAAAAAATCATGAGGAATGCTCAGTATAAATTGATAGCCACGATACTGAACTGAACTTAACAAGAAAACAAACAAATAGTAAAACTTTGAGAGAGAGAGAGAGAGAGAGAGAGAGAGAGAGAAAGTAAATCAACAATAAACAAACCAAATGATAATAAAGTGTAACCCAAAAGTGTAATCAACATCTTCCTCATCTTTTTTTCATCATGAGCTCTCACTCTCTTTTTCTCTCTCATCTTCCCAAACTGAACTGTAAAGAATCAAAACAATTCTCATGCGAACTCATGAATCTCTTCTGAATCCATTCTTGTTTTCAGCTTATCGTTGAAACATTTATATTCTTATAATCTCTCCTTCTCTCACCCAACATATCATACTCGCTTAAATCTCTCTCCTTTCTCTCTTTCTCTATCATCTCTTCCCCTACCTGTCTCTATGTGATTAATATTCGATTCTCTCTTTTTATTTTCTATTTATCCTGAATAAATGACCTTCCAATGAATTCCATGGGTAAACCAACGATTGGTTATAATAAATGACCTTTGAATTTCTGATTTTTAGCTTTCATTTTCCTCTCATTGAAGTTTTTTTCTTCTCTGATGATATTAATTAGCTATTTACAGAGAGGAATTGCAGGAAGAAAACATTTATCCATGCTATAAGAATACAAGAACTCATGATGATGAAAACGATGGGGTAAGTGTTCATTCATATTCTTCAATGCTCTCTCTCTCTCTTTCTAGTCTGGTATCTCTTTGATTCCCTCTTTCAATGCTCTTGGGTCTTTTCATTGGTCATTTTCAAATATTGACCAGTCACTAGAAACCATATCAAAGGTCAATTGATTCATCGTCTCAATGAACATTTCACTGAAAATTTACTTCCTGGTTTGAGTAAAAATGCAAAGAAACGAAGTTTTTTTCTTCTTGTTCACTCTTATCATTATCATGATTCAATTCCAAACAATCAACTGAACACTTTTTAACTTAACAAGTTGACTGATTACAGAGCAACAATTGAAAAGATAATTAACTTAAATTGTAAGAAATCATGATTCCTTTGGTTTCACCCTGAGATGATGATACAATTATCAACCATTGTGATTAAATAATTTCAACTCTCATGATAATATAACAATTAATTTCATTAGATTTCACTTAATTCATTGTACTTAATTGTGATAATACTAACAAATAACAATAATTGTTTCCATTTAAACATAATGAGTATGAATTTATTTCCATAATTGTTCACGAGCATAATTAACAATTAACAAGCGAGTTAACAATGTTTTCCAAGTTAAGAATTGCAAGAGCAAAGAATTAAATTAAAATGAAAGTTAATCATAATTAAAAACAGAGAAATGCAAAAGTTAAATTGGAAAGATAATTAATTATAATGAAAGTGAACAATTATCATTATGATGATGTTGAAGATTGATTTCCAATGTGTTTCATGAGGAATTGGAGGAAACTTGGAACTTTTTGTTTTCTTTTGGAAAAAAATTTTTTTTCGAATCTTAGATTTTGTTGTTAGTGGTTTTTTTCTCAGTTCTGTTGAAAGGTAATATTATCATTACATAAGAAGATAAGAGGATGAAAAGATGAAGAAAAAGATGCGATTCAATTGTATTCTCATGGGATACAATTGTAAAAAGAAAACTTTTTCTATCGAATCAGTTAGATGATGTTATCATGATATTCCAAAAAAAAGATGAAGAAGATAAACTATTGTTGTCATTATAATGAATAAGAAATTTTGATCTTCATCCCTTCCATCATCTTCTCAAGCATCACCCTCCTCCATATCATCATCATCATTCTCATTATATGAAATAATAGTAATACATGTTTGGTGAATCTTTTTTCTCTCTCATTCGACTTGATATTTCATCAAAATTGACATCGCCTCAGGAAAGATATTAAAGTAGGAACCATTTAAGATCGAAACTGATGATATAAAATCTTAAGAATCAGAATAAATATGAACTTTTCATTTTCCACCCCATGTAATAAAATCTCATCTACTAATATCTTTTTCCCTCTATCTCTCTCTCTCTCTCTCTCTCTCTCTCTCTCTCTCTCTTGCTCACTCTCTTTTCTCTCTATCAATACAATCTCAGAGTTTGACGCGAAATATTCATTGACCTTCATCGAAGTAAATTAATTCAACATTAACAGAAATTGAATTATTTCAATCATGGCCAAAGTTAAATTATTATGATGACCAAGGTAGCATGTTGATGGCATTGTGACCATTGTCTTTTGCCTGATGATTGAATGAGCCCATCGGCAAATTAGTCAGCAATCAAAATTATGCCCATGGGTTTGCAATTCTCGATATTCTTTCGAATCATTTTTGTTATTAATTATTAATATAATTGGAATGATGAGAAAAAGTAATCAATAAATTTTATCAAATCTTATTACTAAAAAACCAAATTTATTTAGATGTGAATAGTTATGTATTCATATATTGAGTAGCAAGTTTTATTTTTCATTAGACTGTAGGTGTCGAGATCAAAATTATGGTTAGAAACTGCATTGTTATAGATACTTGAAACGGCGTTAATTTTCATAAGCTCTAAGGCATCGTTCTGAGATGTGGACTAATTAATTTAAATCGATGTGGCATATTCCGTTCTGGATTGAAATGCTTATCATAGGGCCACGAATCAACACAATTCACATGTTTGACAAGAAATTGATGAAATATTATCAAATTTTACATTGAAAATAGTACAACAACTATTTTTGAGATTTAACAGTTATGTAGTAAAGTTGTCTATTAATGATCAATATTATCGCCCGAGTCCAAAACCACCTTTTCCGATTGTAGCTTTAACTCCACCAGAAGCTCCTGCAGCACCAGCGGCTTTCTTAAATCCACCAGCTCCAGCAACTCCAGATTTACCTCCGGCTGCACCTTTAGCTCCAGCGGCATAACCTTTAACACCACCAGTTTTACCTCCCTTGTATCCAGCTGCTCCTGCTGCTCCAGCATAGCCTCCTTTGGCAGCTTTGCCTCCGACAGCACCTCCAGCAGCACCATAACCAGCGGCTTTACCGAATTTGAATCCTTGGCTCATTCGAATGTCTTGACAAGACCCTTTTCTTATTGTATCCAGCACCACCGGCTTTAGCGAATCCTCCTTTCTCCATACTTTTTACAAAAGCTCCAAGCGAATCCACCCTTGGCAGCTCCCTTGGAACCACCTGCGGCTCCAGCGGCACCATAAGCAGCCCCACCTTTGGCACCCTTGGCTCCAGCAGCATAACCAGCTTTTCCTGCTCCACCAGCTTGATATCCAGCAGCTCCGCCACCACCAGCACCTTTCTTGAAAGCGGCAAGACCAGCACCTCCAGCACCACCAACCGCTGATTCGGCTCCTAAATCGGCTGAGATATCTCGTCTTTCTCTTTGTTGACCATCGAAAGAATCTTCGAACTCTTCTTCTTCTTCAGCTTGAACCAACGAAACAAAGAGAACAAGAGATGAAACGAAAATGAAGAAAAACTAAAAGACGAAAATAGAAAATATTAATACAATTAGAAAATAATCCAGTTGAAATTTTGAAACACAATAAAACGATTTAATGAAAATAATTACCAATTGTTTGTTCATTTTGATGAATTTGATTTGATCACTTTAAAAATAGGAAAACTAGGTAAGTGTTTTAATAAGAAAATTTGTAAACTTTGTTAATTGTAGTTTGTTGTTTGTTGTTTGAATCTCGAACTCAAATTGTATCGATTCTAATTTTTCTCTCTCATTTTATACAGAATCCACTTAAAATTTTCTCTGAGAAAAGACAAAAACTCGAAGTGATTAATCATTGAGCGAAAAATTAAACTTGATGATAACTGGACCATGAATTGGATTCGATTGATTGGCATTTGAAAGACTAATAATTTTAGTCGAAAGTGAGAAAGGACAAATCGAGGAAAACAAACCTAAACACTTGAATATTATTTTCAAATAAATAAAATAACACCGATAATATTTATAGATAAATTGGTTATTACTGTGATTTAATGCCCCTAATTGTAGATAATCTGTTCGTCTATCTAATTTGAATGAACTTTGTCGGAGTTTTACTTATTTTGATCAATATTATGGGATTTTTTGATTGAAATGATTACAAGCAAAACTCTGGGTTTTTCTCATTAATAATTGAATTGAAACAAAACTTATCTTCATTTAGAATCTCTAATACATCAAAACATGATGTGATTCGCGCCAATTCATTTTTCCATCAATGTTATGCAAACGTCCTGTTGATTCAACCATTTGTATCGAAATTTACAGCAATACACCAACGTAAATGAATTAAGTGGGTTTGTTTCCCTCTGTCGACCTTATTCACTTTAGTCTGAGAGTTTTCTTGGTATAAAAAGAGTGAGAAAAATTAGAATCGATACAATTTGAGTTCGAGATTCAAACAACAAACAACAAACTACAATTAACAAAGTTTACAAATTTTCTTATTAAAACACTTACCTAGTTTTCCTATTTTTAAAGTGATCAAATCAAATTCATCAAAATGAACAAACAATTGGTAAGTATTATTTTCATTAACTGATCGTTTTATTGTGTTTCAAAATTTCAACTGGATTATTTTCTCTAATTGTATTAATATTTTTCTATTTCTTTTCGTCTTTTTAGTTTTTCTTCATTTTCGTTTCATCTCTTGTTCTCTTTGTTTCGTTGGTTCAAGCTGAAGAAGAAGAAGAGTTCGAAGATTCTTTCGATGGTCAACAAAGAGAAAGACGAGATATCTCAGCCGATTTAGAAGGAGCCGAATCAGCGGTTGGTGGTGCTGGAGGTGCTGGTCTTGCCGCTTTCAAGAAAGGTGCTGGTGGTGGCGGAGCTGCTGGATATCAAGCTGGTGGAGCAGGAAAAGCTGGTTATGCTGCTGGAGCCAAGGGTGCCAAAGGTGGTGCTGCTTATGGTGCCGCTGGAGCCGCAGGTGGTTCCAAGGGAGCTGCTGCCAAGGGTGGATTCGCTTCTGGAGCTTTTGGTAAAAAGTATGGAAAGAAAGGAGGATTCGCTAAAGCCGGTGGTGCTGGATACAATAAGAAAATGGGTCTTGTCAAGACATTCGGAATGAGCCAAGGATTCAAATTCGGTAAAGCCGCTGGTTATGGTGCTGCTGGAGGTGCTGTCGGAGGCAAAGCTGCCAAAGGAGGCTATGCTGGAGCAGCAGGAGCAGCTGGATACAAGGGAGGTAAAACTGGTGGTGTTAAAGGTTATGCCGCTGGAGCTAAAGGTGCAGCCGGAGGTAAATCTGGAGTTGCTGGAGCTGGTGGATTTAAGAAAGCCGCTGGTGCTGCAGGAGCTTCTGGTGGAGTTAAAGCTACAATCGGAAAAGGTGGTTTTGGACTCGGTAGATAAACATCAATATATAATCTAATTTCTTTCCTCTAAGTCATAAGCAACAAAAAATTTATCTAAAGAAAAAGTCACCAATCTATTTGTATGATTAATCATTAAAAGTCAATCGCTATAATAAAGGCTCTTATTATTTAATTCAAAAAAGTTCACACAGTCTGATCTTTCAGAGATGCTTTAATCTGATAAACTCAAAACTCTTAATATCAATACGCTAAAAGAATCATAAACCAGAATTCACCATATTTTCAACCACTTTCTACTTAATGATTGGTTTTCAATCGAAAACTAATCACCAAACAATCAAGTGACAATTTTTTGAATTTTCGTTCTCACTAGTTGATTGATTTTTTACCTGATTAACTAAATTTAAAGAGATTGTGGTGATTTTAGTTGAAACAAAACATCAGGAAACAAACATGATGAAAATCAATCTAAATTAACTAATAGAAGACAATTATATTGATTGTTTAATAGGAAAGAAAAAATTTTGCCATTTCTCTTGTGACAAAATTAACTAATAACAATTTATTATTATCACAATGATGATTATCATGGTGATTAAGTGAACCTGGAAAAAAATGAATCAATTGGAGTTGATCAGAAATAAAAGTTTTCATCTAATTTAAGGTAAATCATTTTGAGAATGTAATTAAATTATTGTGCTTTTTGTGTTCAACAATCAAACAATATAATAATTTTATTAAATTAAATGAGTAAATATTAGGAGAAACCACAGAAATCATCATGAGCCTCAGGAGTTTCAATGAACTTTCATCATCACCATGAAACAGTTGATAAATTTTCCGGTTAAATTTCCGGATTCAAATTAACTGTTAATCAATTTGACTTGACGATTTTAGATTTTAATCAAACAGCTAATTAAATTGTTTCAAGGTAGAAACAATTTTCTAGGTTAATAAGTTTACAATTAATAGTTAATAAACTAATCTAATATTGATTATCATGGTTGAGTTATTGGTTTGTGATGATGTTTGTTATTTATATTGTTAGTTAATTGTTAATCAATGTTAGTGTAAGGTAACCCTCATGAACCTCAATTTTCGCGCTCATGCTTTTCCCTTTTCTCTCACCATGTGAATAAATCACATGATTGTTTTTATCAACTTCCTTTAATTTTGATTAACCTTTAGTTTAACCTTTATGGGCTATAAAAGCCAATTCATTTCTATTAATCCTTAACAGTTTAATTAATTGTTCATCTTCAAGTCACTTGACTTTTATTAGTCTTCCTTAATTGTGACTAAATCTCTTTTACTAATTATGCTTATAAAAGCTTCTCAATTAGTCACCTTCATTGGTCTAATTACTCTTTGTGTTTCTTATTTGTAACAGTAACCCTTCATTCATTCAATCCGTTAATCATTTTAGACTTTGTTTTCTACTGTTAATCATTAATTACTTAATTAAACTTATTTACTTATAAAAGTGCTCTAACCTTTATTGGTCATTCGCCCTTGTGAATTAGTATGTGTGAGAAAACACAGTAAGTCGAAAGGACGGAGTAGAAGGGACAAAACGGACCTTTGAGAGTTAAGTTCGGTACTCTGACCCTTGTCCACTCTAAAACCCGACATATGGCGACCCAGGCAGTCCTCTCTATTTCTCCTTATTCTTCTTTTCTCTCTGTGAAATATTTCTCTTCCCTTCTCATCTAATTCTTCCGCATTCAGCACCATAAAGTGTTTTCTTTTGTAATCATCATCGTGTGTTTTCTTACACCATAAAGTGTTACTATGCCTCCTAAGAAGATCTCAGCTCTGAAGTGTTGTTTCTGATGAAACTACTGTTAAAGACGCTCAATTTCTGACAAACAAAAGTATCTCGAAACATGGGGTCATGATAAAACCTCGCTGTATTCACTTCAGTTTCCTCGAATCTTTATCGACTCATTTTTGCTTCATGGCATTGAGACCGATTTCGACGCCCTTGAAGGGTTATCTCTTACTGAAGCGATCGAACCTAGTGTTCCAGATTGGTTAATTTCTTTCCGCCGAGACGGTTTAACCGAAAGGAACTTCAAGCTTCTTAGTGTCTATGGTACAACAAAACAAGCCCTTTTATCAGGTTCCTATGATCTTATTAATACTCTCAATGTGTCAGAAAACGCTAAACATGTATTTCGTCAATTCAGAGGAAATGACTTTAAACAAATGTTCTCAAGGACGAATCAAAGTCACCTCAACCTCTAATCAACCTTGAGCCACTTCCTCTTCCTCCATCTTCTTCCATCACACTTCCTGATTACAAATATCGAGTACCTCTTCCTTCTCTTCCAATTCTTCGAATCGAAGATGATCCTTCGACTGGTTAACTAGCGCAGAAAGGCAACTCCAGTGGGAACCGATCGACGATTCAACTCGTTTCGACTTCTTAAAAGTACATTGCTCACGATTTGATCATCATTGACCAACAGTCATGTCAAGGTATCACCGATTACAACGAGTATATCTCAGCTCTTTATCGAGGCTTAAGAGATTCTACCAAGGTAACCGAAGCTCAACAAAGTTTAAATGATCTCCGTTACAATTATGAAGATCCTCCTCGTATCTTCATCGCTAAATTGCGATCATATCTTCTTCGACGTTTTAGTACGGTCACTAATCAAGATATCTTACGGGAACTTCATCATCGTATTCCAGTACCTCTTAGAGATGCTATCGAAGATCAAGGTTGTGTTGACAGTCTCGAAGGTACCATAAAGGTAATGATACTCGTTATCACCGTCAATTAAGACATCCGAAACCTCATGATAAATCGTATTTAAATCAAAGTCGAAACCTTATGAGTCCAATAAAGGACCTGAACAAAGAAATGTTCAATCTCAACAATCAAAGGGTAATCATAAACCATCTCAAGTTCCTGTTGTTTCCTCTTCATCTTCCTCATCGTCTTCCTCGTCAAATTCTCAACAACAATCCGGTAAACCTTATCCAAAATTCTGTCGTTATTGTAAAGAAAAGGCCATGAAATCAAAGATTGTGCAAAGCGATACTAAACTTTCTAAGAATGAAGAAAATTCTACTGATAAAAGTACTCCAACAACTCAAGAATTAACTTTCTGTCTTCCAAGCGATGAAGCTTCTTCCTCATTAATTACTAAATTCGGAGATGTTCCTCCAAATGAATGTGCTTCTGTGTTTTGTCAACTATTCACCAGTACTCGTGAATTCACTAAAAGTGGCTTCGTCCTCTTCGATACTGGATCTGGATCTTCATTGATCGACCTCGACTTCGCTAAAGCCTTAAAGCTTTCCTCGTTCCAACGGACTACTCAGTTCGTGATGCTTGTGATAACAATCTAGACGTCATTGGTGAAGCTGCTCTTTGAATCTTCCTCCTTCAAAAGTGATACTTATTCGTGTCGTGATAGCGAAACGATTTTCTCCTCTATTCTTGTTTGGGTATAAAACTGGACACGATCTGAAGATTGGATTACAATCGGATGGTGAGAAATTCAAAGTATCTTTTATGAGAAAACTGAGCATGAACTTGTTAAGTTTAGATTCGCCACTTTTGAAGAAACAAAGTTGGATTATCCAGAGATAATAGAAGTTCTGTCGATATCATTGATCTTTGTAATGTTAAAACAGTTGATATGCTCATCTTTATCTCAAAGCTTCTAAAAGCCACTCAAGCTTAATTTATCTTATTCAAAATAATCTAAGAAAAGACAGACCTTTCAAAATCAAATCTCTTCCTCCTGAAGAACAACCTTACTCCTAAAGAGTCTTCATATTGTCTTCTTCATTCTCATGAATCCGAGCAAAAAGAAAATTTAAATTTCAAAGATAAACTCCTTAGATGTATGAATCCAGAATTAAGTTCAAATCAAGTCAACGAACTTTTATCAATTCTCTTGAACTATCATGATGTTTTTTCTCAACATCGCCTGGATCTTGGTTGCATCTCTTATCGCAACTGTCCCATCTTTATCGATATTGAGACAATAAGTCCCTTATCAAAACCTTATCCTTGCTCATTTGAAAGAAGAATTTTTAAAGATTTAATCAACGAGCTAATCAAAAGTGGTATTGTTGAACCTTCAACGGCAGAGGTGGATCCTGCTTTACTCGTTGCCAAACCTGATAAATCTTATCGTCTTGTTATCGATTATCGCGCTTTAAATCGCATCACTCGAATAACTCAATACCCGATGCCTAGGGTTGATGACTGCTTAGAAGCAGTTCGAGGTGTTGAATATTTTAATCTATTCGACCTCTTTCAAGGCTACCATCAAATAGAACTTCATCCTCAAGAAAGGGGTAAAACCGCCTTTGTGACTCCTGATGGTAAATACCAATTTATTCGTCTTCCTATGGGTCTTTCCGGTGCTCCGTTTTATTTTCAACAAATGGTCAATAAAGTTCTCGATGGTCACAATTACATTAAATGTCTTGGATATTTCGACGTCCCAGTTCTTGGTCGTTCATGGCGTGACTTGCTAAAAGTACTCAACTCGTTCTTCAAAGACTTCGTGATCATAACCTCAAAGTCAAGACAGATAAATGTCAATTTGGTTATCGTGAAATTAAATTCTAGGTCACATCGTTAGTGGTAAGGAATAAAACCTGATCCCGCTAAAGTCGAAGCCTCAAACGCCTTCCCTATCCAAGAAATCGTAAAGAACTTCAAAGCATTTTAGGTTTTACAACTTCTTCAGCCGTTACATAAAGATTTTTCTCGTTTAGCTGAACCCTTATACCGAATGGTATCCAAAGATAGAAAATTCTGTCTCATGAAAGAAGATAAAGATGCACTCGATAAACTCAAATCATCCTCATCATTAAAACTATGTTGGTTCATCATGATCCGTCTTTAAGGAAAAATTATCTGCTGATGCTTCCGATAAAGCGGTTGGTGGTATGTTGCTCAGGAAGAGCCTTCTGAATCTGAACTCCATGAAACTATCGATTCAATAAAGAATTGCAACCAATCAGTTTCTTCAGTCAAAACTGAAATACCAAGTCAATTACGCCATTTCAGAGAAAGAACTTCTCGCTATTTTCATTGGTGTCGATAAATATCAACATTTCCTCGAAGGATCAGAGTTTATCATCGAAACTGATCACCACGCACTTTGTCAACTTCCAAAACTCAA